AAACAGTTTTCGAAACACAAAGATGCATTATTAAATTTTATGATAATATTTAGACATATTGAAATGGCATGTGAGGCAGTGGGGATTTCTCATGAGAAGGTATAGCCTCAATATATTCAGAAGCCTAAAGATGCTGCAGATCATTAATAAGCCTTCCTTTCCATGTTAAAGCAATCCCTGGAATGATTTTCCCTATAAGCTGTTACGTACGTGCACAAAAAAAACCCTGCATGCTCTGAATAGGTGCAGAGAAGTTTGCAGCTGCATCTCTAAAGCCTTTGGTCTGAAAATACAGAGACTGAAATCTCTGCCTTTCATCTGCATTTGAAACTTAGGAAGTTTAACTCCACTCCGCTGATTAACACATTTAGTCTTTGAGGAGACCTTCAGTATTATAAAACTAACAGAAATAAAACTTACATTAGATAATAAGCCACACATTTCTTTCTCCTTAACCAATCACTCTGGAAATTCAACACTATAATTCACCTTATAGAGCAGTGACTTTGCAGAGTTCTGGATCAAGAGTGGAAGTTCTGCAAATATTTACTTGTGTACCTAAGCCTTACCTGCTGACACAGACTTAAGCAGGACTGTTGGGACCCACTTTGCTCCTCAGATTTGAGGTGAGAATCACATTAAATTAGTCTACCTAGAAATGCCTGTTGCAGTGCTGAACTGAGGAGGAGAAATCTGGACAGCACCAATAAACAGGGAACTGAAATTGAATAGAACATGCCAGGGAGAACCTGAAATAATAAAGGTGTTGGTTTCCTTAACTTACCCTAAAGATTCAGTATTAACTTAAGGCTTCTCTGTGCATCACTTTATTATTATTTAATAGTTTATTTCACATAAGGGAACACTGCTTAAGGGTAATCAGCCAAAAGTTTATCAACAAAGCAAGGGTAAAAGCTGATAAATAAGCTCTCTAATTACTTAAGTATGTAGCTTATCAAATCATCTCATCCCATCAGGGCTCGTTTAGAGTAACAACAGTCAAAAAGTTTAAATCTAGAATCTTTATTTAGTTGTCATCTGCAACTAAAATTCAAATTCAAAGCTTTCATTAGCTTCCTGACAGAGCAAACCATGAACTCTGCAGTGCTCATGCAAACCAAGAAACCCCATCTCAGCAGCATCCAGAAATCCTGGAGTTTCTACTCATTTCACAGCTGCACTGTTTATATATTCCAGCCTTGCTTTGTGTTCCAGAGAACAGCACCAAGCTGAGAAAGGGGCAGCAGAATTACAGATAAGCAGTGTGGGGCAAGGAAAAGCAATATAAGATTTTCTTTCCCAGTCTGCTACTGCAGGTCCAGTGCCCACGACACGCTCATGTTCCCCAGGAAATGACCAGGAATGCTGGCACCAACTTCAGTGGATAGAGGACACACCTCCAGCACAGGCTGAGCTCAAGTACAGGTGGAACAATTAAGCAAAGCCTCCCAGGAGACCACATTGTAAATGCTAGTGCCTAAGTGAGCCAAAATTGGAGTCAAAACCTTGCTCAAAACAAAAGTGCAACAAAACAAGTATTAAATAAATTCTTTCATGTTAATTAGTTCACTACCAATCAACTGTTGGTTCAACCATTCTCTTATCAAATGTGCACATATAGTTCTCTCCTTGGAGACACTCAGATCTGAATAAGGCTTAAAAAAAACTTAGTTCTTTTGGTTGTTGTCATTCTTAATCACAGACATCTATAAAACTATTAGTACAAGCTACTAGTGGGAATAGAAGACTCTAGATTAGCTAAATTAATCAGGCCTGCACAATTGGGAAAGGGAGACAAGAAATTTTTGAAGAATCAATTTATTGGCTATTAAAGAGACACTTAAAATTAACTGAATCACAGAATATAGTGCCCCATTTATCTATTTCCATTGTGTAGAATATCACCAGGCTCCTGGTTTATTTGGGTTATTGGACTCCATTAACTCCATCTATTAAGTCATTCCAAACAAACCCAGCAATCCAGCAGCCCAAAGGCCATGGGACTGAGGTGGTACCTGAAACAACCAGAAGACTGAGACATAGCAGAGGGACACTCATAAAATATCAAGCCAATACTTCAAGATACATTTTTAATTCGTGGATCCCACTGTCAAGTGCCAGAAAACTCACTTTGACAGCTTTGAGGTATCCTAAGAAGTTTTTAAGATACAACTTTCAGATCTACCAACCCGTTTCTGGAAGCCTTTTCTTTTTGTGGATAAAAATGTGTACCCTTTTTGCAGAGGTAATTACTGAACATTTCACATCTTTGTAAATGCAACATTTCCTACTTGCTACAATTTCTTAGCAGGGCATGAATTCACATCAGCAGATTTGAAAACTAATGGATTTAATGGCTGTTGTGTTACTATGTGTAGGGTTTTTTTGGTAAACTTACTAATTTACCAGACTATTACAGAGTGTTTGCTCCCAGTAGTTTTGCATTACTGAAAGTACACAGGTTTTTTTTTGTTTTCACAGTAGTTTTTACAACATATTTTAGCTCTAAAGCTAATGTCTGTCCAAATGCAGGTTAATGGATCAGGTTTGTATCTTATAAAACACTTCATTATTATAGAATCAGAATCATCGAGGTTGAAAAAGACCTTCAAGACCATCAAAGCCAATTGTCATTCACATTCTTGCTACTAGAGTATTCCCAAATCCCACTCCTAGGATGGATGGATGTCTGTCTGTGCTTCCTACCATCACCATCTCTGAAAGCTATGAACCAATGGGGGTCTAAATACAGAATGTCTCTCATATAAAGGCATCACTTCACTCAGAAAACATTACTATAATTAAAAAACAGCCAGTGGAGGATACTAATAGTCCTCACAAAGCATGACCAACTCCTTAGTTTTTGTTTCAACTGGATCAAAAAGTTCCTGGCTTTTGTATTTCTCCCCCCCAAAAAACATTTCTCTATATTTGTACACCATGTATTCAAGGCAAAGGAATAACTGATCTCACCCCCATCCCCAGAAAGACACAAAACACAGAAAATCATTTTACCACCCTACTCCAATTTTATTTTCAGTCTTCCCTGTAGCATTTCCATTTTATAATCTATTTTCCCCAATAAAGAGGGGGCTTGGTCACCCTGCTATCAGATACTAAACCTGTATATACATACCTAGTTGGAAAACCACTCTAGCAATCTCAGATTCCATTATGGAACATTTTTGTCCCACATCTTGCCTCTTTTTGCTTTCTTCTACAGACTTCCTACCACATCACACAGCTTTATATAGAAACTTCCCCTTCTAAAACGATTGCTGCTCACTCACCGCTACCTGAACCTGACAAGTTTGATAGAAAAAGGCAAACTACACAGATTCTAGAGTGTTTCAGTTACCTGTTCATAAATAAGTGAGACCAGGGAAGTAAAAGATAATAATACTAATACTACTAATAATAAAGTAATGACATATCTGCATGAGATTTTTTTTTTTGAAAGCAATTTCATAACCCACAAGTCCAACACCACAGGACACAAATCATCTGCTGTGCACATTTTTGTTTCTAACTAACTTCTGGAAAATATTACTATTACTTTAAAAAAACCTTAAACATTCAATTTTCCATTGAAATTTTCCATTATGTTTCTTTAAAACTAAATATAGACTAGTATTAAGGATTCGCTCACTTGTGCTGCTGGGTAGACTTAATAAAACATGCTATTGAAGCACTTAACTCTCAGAGAGTTTCACATTTTTTATTTAATAGACTAAGAAATTTTAATTAAAAATGTATTTTAAATACCACACCTGCAAGTCCCTTCACTCGTTTTGCATTGTACTCCGAGGGTACTAAGGGTGCATCACTGTTTCAACAGGAGATACACGCAGAATAATTGGATTAAGTGAGAATTTGGTAATTCAGTAAATCTGAGCATTAGGGAGAAATCTATGCAATAGGAGAGCAAAAGTGACAACTTGAAATGAGGTGTAAAAACGAGGCCTTAACTATCCAGCTACTACAGATCCCACACGATCTGTGCAGCAACAGAGCTCCTGGGTTTGGTTTTTTTTTGCTATATGCTGTGTTAAGCAGTTGGCATCTTTTTATCCTTGAGGAGGTGCTTATATTTCAATAGCAGATTAAGTCATTTCTGTGAATCATCATAGGGTTTGTGTTGTGGGTTTTTTTTTGTTGTTCTGAGGTCTTTTTTAGTGCTTTAGGATCCTTTGGGATAAGAAGTTCTATTATAAAGACATATAACTGCTTCTAGTGAAGGCTTGGTTTGCATTTGAAGCAAAACCTTAATTGATGCACTGCTGATTTCTTCCACAAACTTTAATAGTTCATAAATTTTATACTTACGGGAGCACCAACCAGTTGCTAATAATAATTAATCTGTACCCAGCTTTTAGCTGGAGCCCATTTTTGTCAAAAATCCAAATAATGACACCTCTACCGATCAATTAATTTCTTGCAAAGATGCAGAGCACATTACAAAGAAGAAATGTGTTTTGTAAGCAAGCATAAGGCATAAAATCACGCCAGTTTGACACTTCTTGCTACTAAACATTTGCATTAACGGAGCATTAAGGATGATCGGTGAACTAGACTTGATTTGTGGAAAGCCATTTGTTTTTCCCTGTATTTTTAAATAACTATAAACTGAATTCAGGTGATTCAGTTCTTGAGAGCCCTTATTCCCTGGCCACGTGAGTGCTGAGCCAGCAGCTCTGGCGTGACAGCCGTGGTGACCGTCCCCTGAAATGGGGTCTGGGAACAACTTCTGGTGCCACAAAACACAGGGTGAGCCCCGCTCCTCAGCCCATTAACAAAGAGGGATTAAAAAGTGCAACTTTCTAGCAAAACAAGTCTTAACCTGAAGGACTAAGAAGAGAATCAAGCAAAAAAGGTTGCGAGTGGCAGCTGTTTCAGTCACAGCAGAGGAAGGAGCTCAGATACCACAAATCTGGGGGGAGAAGGGTAGCTTTTCTGTTGTAACACGAGGCTTTTTGACCTGTTTTTTGCACGCAGGCATCATGGTGAGTAAGGAGCCCAGCAAATGCTTACTCACCGCCTCGGAAAGCGAAGTGGAACCCGCAGCGTCGCTGGCGCTGGAGATGAAATACGCGCTGGATCCCAACCGGCAGATTAAGAAACGCAACAAAGCCCTGCAGGTGAGGTTCAAGGACATCTGCGAGGCCCAGAATGAGCAGCGGGACAAGCAGCTCTCCACCACGCCGGATCCTGACAAGAGGGAAGCCAAGGCCCTCTCCTACAAAGCTGCGTATCGCAAGTACATGACGGTGCCTGCCCGGAGGTCGATACCCAACGTCACCAAGAGCACAGGAGTTCAGACTTCCCCCGATCTTAAAAAGTGTTACCAGACTTTTCCTCTGGACCGGAAAAAAGGGAATATACTTAAAAGCGCCTCGACCGGCGACACCTTTAAGGGTCAAAACAACGGGTTTCTACTTGACGTCAAGGACAAAGACAGCAGGAGCTCAGGGGAGGCCATCCAGTGGAGCAGGAAGGCCAGCAGCCTGCAGACGGCGGAGTTCATTTCCCACATCCACGAGCGCCCCAACACGGGATCTCGGGACAACGGCGCCGAGGCCTGGCCAGGCAGTGATTTGCACAGCCCTCCCAAAGAGTCTCCTCTTCCTCTCCCGAACTCAGCCGATCCCGCTGCCGAGGAGGCGGCGGCGGCCCGGCCGCCCAGCCGAGGGAAACAGGTGCCAGGGCGGCCGGGGAGCGAGGAGGCTGCGCAGCCCCTCCACGGGAGGGTTTTCAAGACTGAAGTGGCCTCCGTTTATTCACCAGCGGCCGCTTCCAACGCCTCGCAGCCCGACCTGGCGGCCGAGAGCGACTGGGCGCCGTGCCCGGCAGCCGAGGAGGACAAAAAGAGGAGGGTGCAGCTGAACGGCGTCCAGCCCCAGGCGGGAGATGCCTGGGCGTGCCCGCTGCGGGCGCAGTGCCGACCCGCCGAGTGCAGCCCGCAGACCCTGCAGATCGACGTGGCGCCCATGGAGGGGAACCAGCCCTGCCAGGCGGCCGTGGCGCTCAGCAAGGAATGCCAACAAATCGTGCCTCACACCGAAGTTGTGGACTTGAAAGCCCAGCTTCAGATGATGGAAAATTTGATCAGCTCTAGTCAGGAAACCATAAAGGTGTTGTTGGGTGTCATACAGGAGCTAGAGAAAGGAGAAGCTCACAGAGAAGGGTGAGTAGCAGCTTTTAAAATACGTACAAGCTGTTTTAAATGCTTTTCCCCACAAGCCCTGCCCTGAATTTGCTGAGGTGAATTTGCCCCCGCGCTCCCTGCAGCGCACCGGGCGCTGGGCACGCAGACCGAGTCTGGCTGCTTTACAAGCAAGTTCAAGGGCAACCTGCCAGTAGCGTTCACAGATTCGGTATCTGCTTGTCCTAGGATGCAATTACACAGTTATTTAACGAAGGACCTATAATATCTTTTCCTTTAGCTTTTCTAACAAGCACAGAATGAGCTGCTCTCCAAGCAGGATTAGAGAGGGCACTTTCACATCAGCAACTTGCATTAACTGTAATACCTCACACGGCATGAAAAGCAGCAGAAAAACATTAATTCTGTAACAGACTTAGCTTTTTAAGATTGAAGGATATTATTACAACTCTTCATATAATTCCATTAATGGCATATGAATCTTGCCTGGTTTACTTTCACCTTCTGAATCTTTAATATTTCTTTCAGAAGGAAATTAAATGAAAACCTTGCCTATCAAAGTCCTTCCTTAAAGCACTGACATCGCCCTACACATGACAAACATGAGCATAAAGAAACTTGTTTATCTCTAACATAGATTACTTAAATCAACCCATAAGGCTTTAAAAATAATAGTTACTGTGACACAGTACAACCTTTAGTCTTCACCTACACAGCTCAAGCCACCTCTTACGTTATCTTAACAAGCATTTTTCAGACTTACTTGCCTTAGTTCACTGGTCTTTACTCAAGGAATGCACTTCAAAATGTATGTGCACTGTCTGTGTGGTTTTAAATAACTTCTGTAATTAAATGAATGTCAGAAGAAATCTGCATTTTAGAATTAGAAACTAGCAGCTTGTTACATGAAGCAGCGCGTTT